AGGGAATCACCAACTGTACGGAAGCCCCATGCTCTGTCTGATACGATAGGAGAATTTCTGATCCATCGATTACTTTTAACAAGGGGAGTCGCTTATCTATCTGATACGATAGGAGCTTTCTGATGCATCGATTACTTTTAACAAGGGGAGTCGCTTGTCACGCTTGTGTATGATGGAAGCTGTATGGAGGATTTTCTTCGTACATACGAGGGCACATCAAGCATACTTACTTTACACCTCCGCTCCGTCATATTCGATTCTTGTACTATAATCTTTCTCATCCGTTGTTGTTAGGAGGATACATAGCACACACATAGCCGCTTCTCAGTTTGTACCAATAAGCAGTCCTTCCACAAATCACAACCTTTCCTCATCCATGGGTTGTTAAAAGCATACATAGCACACAAACAGCCGCGTCTCGATTGTACCAATAAGCAGTCCTTCCCCAAATAACAACCCCTCCTCATCCATCGTCGTTACAACCATACACAACCCTCAGACACACACACACATCCGCTTCTAAAATCATACCAATAAACCCTCTTGCCTTGTATACCAAACAAACACCCCTCCCCATCTTCCTCCCTCATCCCCTCTCACCAGAACCATCCCCCCCCCACCCCACCCCATCCTTCTAACACACACAAACAGCCCCACTCCCCAACTGACTGACACACCAGATGAACCCCTCCATGCGCAAATGAGTAGCAGAATTGCATTGCATTGAGTGTGTATGTAGATCGAACTCGTTGCTCTTCTCATTACTGGGATTTGGGACATGTGGATTTGATTCCTTGATGGTGTCTAGCGGTATGGTATCTCTCGTGGGTTTGCGCTTGGATGGATGGATGGATGGGTAGGGTGGTTGGTTGGTTAGGTGGGTGGTTGGGACATCTCTTTCGTGGAGGTTGGTGGGCTGGGGGGGATGGGATCTGGTGAGGTGAGGTGAGTTGAGGTGAGTTGTGGGTCGGTTGTAGTCTTGAGTCGAATGGTTTGGTTGGGGTTGATGGCGTAGGTGGTATGTGCGGTTTGGAGATTTATGTACGGGGGGGGGTTGTGTAGACTTGAAGATGGCTATGTGCTAAAGTAGACACTCTAGCTCCCCGGCACGATCAAAGGAGGTGCCGTTCCATTAACCAACAGCCCCTGAATCGTATCCAGCGCCGCCATCTGCTGCCCCAACCCTTTCGTGCCGTCCCAGCCCCCAACATACCACTTCGTCCCGCAGACACTCGCGTTCATCCCCGAGCAGGACAGCGCCGCCGCTTGCGCCGACGAGGTTACCAGATCCAAGACTTGCGCCTTCAGACTCGGCAGCATCTGCGTGGCGGCGACCATCCAGCGCGAAAGATACGCTTTGAAGCTGAACTGGTCGTTGTTGCATGTGGAGGCTTCTTCGCACATGAATTCGAATAAGACGTTGGTGGCGTTGGGGAAGGGGGAGAAGAAAATGTGCTGCGCGCCGGTCAGGAGACCTTGGGCTCGTGTCGCCCAGAGGGAGGTGCTGTTGGGAGAGGAGGAGATGTTGGCGAGGACGGCGGTGCCGAGGAGCATCGTTCCTGCGTTGTAGGACCATTGGTCGTGATCGATACCGGTGCAATTTATGGTGTCGTCTGTGCCGTCGTAGACGTAGTAGTTGCCATCCAGTAATCCAATCCTCGCCATCCAGTCGTACGTCTTCTCCGCCCAGTCGCTGTAGGTGCTATTGCCCGTGTATCTTGCAAGACGTGCGGCGAGTTGGAAAAAGCCGCCGTTGGCGATGGAGGATTTGTAGTAGAAGCCAGCGTTGTTGGGGTTGAATTGCCATTGCAACCCGCCGTTGCAGGTGGATGTGTTCCAGCGCGGGCCGGCCATGTCGTTGAAGACACCTTTGGCGAGCTCGATGTAGGTGACGTTGGCGGTAGAGGGAAGGGGGAAGGAACGCTCGGCGGCGGTCATGGCGGTGAGGCCCCAGAAGACTTGGTCGTCGTTGCCCTAATGTCATCCTCCATCAGTACTAATCCAATCAATGATAGCTCCTGCAAATGAGAGCAAGGTGACGACTCACGAGTTGGCCCGCTTCCTCCGGCATCATGAAATCGTCCGTCGGGCTTGCTTGGGCCAGTATAGCTTGCGACACCACATCGTTGTAGCTGGTGTCGCCGGTGTAGTGCCAGTATTCTACCATTCCCCCCCACATCGCGCCGGCTTCCCACCAATAGTATGGAGCAGAGAGGAGGCCAGGCTCTTTTCCGGTTTGGTTGCCGGTGTAGTAGGTCATCATGCCATAGGCTATCGTGGAGGCGGCGCTGCGGATGGAGTCTAGGAGAAGTGATGTTAATGGGCTGCTTTAAGAGTTGCAAGAGGGTAAGAAGTACTATCATCGATGACATCTAGGAGGATAGCATGAGCAACTGTCGCTCCTGCTATGGCGGCGCAAAGGCTCGCTCCCGTGGTGGAGAAGAACATAGTGAGGCAGATGGGAGCAGCGGGGTCTGCTGGAAGTGCATGCTGCAGAGGTTAAACGCAGATGCTGCCATGTTTATAAGGACCGTCTTGCTTCTGCTGATGTTGTGGGGAAGCCCCGTGCGTTTCCTCTTGGCCAGGGGATTGGAGGTTGGTTTCCGTAAAAGAAAGCTGCTGAGAGGTCATGTCGTCGACCAGAATGACCCTAGTGGAGATTTGATTGGCCACCTGCCCCAATCACGCTAGCGGCCGTTGACCAACGAGGGAAGCTCGGACGTTGTCTTCACCTTCCTCGTTCATCACCCTGCCCCCCCTTTCTCCCCCGTACATACTGGATGTTTGGTCTTGCGGCTTTCATCTTACAACACTTTAATATTGAGCCGAACAGAGAAGCCTGCTTTAGAAGTAGATATTTGGATGACTGTCTCTGGCTCCTGTTTTCAACCTGTTGGCAGAGGAGTGGAATATGACCAAACAAGTCTACTTCTTATGGTCCATCAGAATGTCGAAAAGAGAATGTGAGGAGATATTCAACCTTCGTTTTGATCTTCCTCCCAGCACGATGCGTCTCCAGCTCTAGTCTTTACGGTATGTATAGATTATGACGTGTCTCTTGGGATCTGGTGTGGCAGCATGCCCTAAATGCCATGTTTACCCTATGGTTTTCCTTTTCCTCTTGGAAAACTTATCGTTGTACAGCTTGGACTATGACTTCCCAAAATCAAAAGTCACACTGTGCGCTCAAACATGAGGCAATCCCCACTCACTTTCGAGGACGACAAGGTCCCCGTGTCCGCTCTCGAGTATACCGCTACTACCTATGAACACGATAGAGTCCGTAAATTGACCCAAAAATGCGATCGCCACCTCATCCCGCCTCTCTTCCTAATCTGGTTCTTCCCCTTCATCGATTGCATCAACATCGGCAATGCCCGCATCCAAGGCTTGGAAACAGACCTTCGCGTGACGGGCAATCAATAACCTCACTCTCGTCGTCTTTTTCATCCCCTTTATCATCTTTGAGGCACTTAAGAAATCTCGGCATGAGGACAACCTTCCTACCAGTATAGCTTAGCAGCCAAACCTTGTCCATAGGTGTCTTCACAAATTGTGAAGGGTAGTAAAGATATATGGAGGATTGATTGCCATGAGGGTTTTGTAAGTATCTTTGAAGCTGTGTCTTATCTCAGGCACTGTCTTCCTCCTCGCAGCATACTATCCGCGCTCTCAGCTACAATAAAGACCAAGCGTCTTGATGTGTTCAACCGCTTCGCCTCCCCTTTGGGTGGGTTGCTGGCTTATGCGATTGTGGGGACGGCGGGCACGGATGGTAAATTGAGGTGGAAATGGATGTTCATCATCAAGATCCTTATCAATATGGCTTTGGCCTGTTCTGCCGTTTCACTTATCTCAGATTAACCACCTAAGGCGGCCTCTCTGAACGATGAAGAGCGAAAGCTGCTCGAGGCGAGAATTTTCTAAGGCGCAACTCAAGCCAGGATGGATACCCCTGATGCTCAGGCGGCCAAACGCCCACTTACGCATCGAAAGATCTAACTCAGATAAGCTCGTCTATCCTGCCAATCCTCGCCAAGTCGCTCTACTCCGATCCAAATCTACACAGCCACCTCCGCATCAACCTATCCCTATCAACCTCTTCGGCCCCATCCTCATCGTCTCAACCCTTTTGTTCTCTAACTCACCCCCCACCACCGCATCCCTCCCTCTCCAACCACCCAAAACACCGCCCTCCCTCCCTCCCGCCGGCCAAATCCGCCCACTTACTTACTCAGCTTCTTCGGCATTCTCACCTCATCGCATCAGAGCGGCGTTCATAACATGACCGCTCGATACAATACGATACGATATGCAGTTCCCGACTTCGTTCGAAGCTGAATCGTACTCTAGATCTCGGTTTCGCTGCTTCGATCCTTGATGGCGAATGACCTGCGCGGGAAATACAAGAATGCTAGTTTGCAGATCGGCGTAGGGTTCGTGCGGGCGGGCGGGGTACTGGTCGTTCTTGTCTTCCCGGCTTGCTATAGAGGGGTCGCTTTAGAGATGGAAAGGGTTTGCGGTTCGGTTGGGTCGGCGTTGGCGTTGGTGGTCGTGGCGGCTGTGGTTGGGCTGGGGCTGGGGCTGGGGCTGGGGGTGGAGGATGAGGAGAGGAGAGAAGGGGGGAGAGGGGTGTGGATGCGGTTGTTGCGGGATATGGGGGATGATCGGTCGGATTTTAAGTTTGGTGATTGGATTTGGTTTGGGTTTGGTTGGGGAAGGAGAGCATGGGGGGGAGGAGGTTCTGTCGGAGAAAAGTGTTGATGGTGGAACATGTATTTTGATGCAATTATTTTGTCGGCTATAGGGATCTGAAAACTGGTAGATCTATCGGAGTCAACCGAAACGCACCTCGTAATCACTGCGTACATATTCCCCTCGTACAAAACCCCTCCCCCCCCCCCAATCCACTCCACCCCTCCCATGCCTGTCCCAGCGCTTCTCCACATAGCACCATCATCCATCCCCACAGCAAGAACCGCTATCCACCACAACCGTCCTCATCTCGATCTAGAAACGATCTCCCCGCAACCAATCATCCCCCCGGATCCACCCCCCTCCCCATCCCAACGCGCCCCCATCGCGCCGGACGCGTAAACGCATCCCGGGTCTACACTCCCGCTGGAATCTGGTGTGCCGACGACGGTGCCGGGCGACAAGCTCGACGAGACGACTCGTTCTGCCCGTGGTGCAGCTGTGTGGATTCGCGTCTCGCTCGGCGGGACGACGACGAGGATCGCGGCGGCGGAGAAGCGGTAGTTCAGGGTCGCTTCGTTGCCGTACTGTGGTTGTGGCGAAAGGGAAGTGAGTTAGCGTTGTTATCGTTGGCGGTTTCTTGGGGGGAGTCTGGGGGAATGGGTGGGTATGGGAATGGTCTATATTTAGTTGGGGCTTCGTACGTACCGCCAGTCCGGCATGCGCGAATTCTTTGTGCATGGGTTCGTTTAGCCATACGATCTGAGGTACTTTCTGGTGCGGCCATGCGGCGGTGACGGGCTTGCGGTGAGTAAAGAAGAGATTAGGTTCGCAGAGCATGGTGATTGGGTTTTTGTGGGGGGGGGGGGGATGTTGTTGGGGGGACTCACCTCTTTGGACTCCTCTTCGTAGGATTTATCGAAAGTGGGCCCGTGGAGCTTCGTCCCAACGATGGTGGTGTATTCTGCTTGGCCGCATTTAGAGAATTTGTCTTCAAGATTGTTATAGTAGTACAAACCCTCTTTTTCTTCTTCACTGTCACTGTCATCCATTGCATCATACGAGATTTCAACATCCTCATCGAATCCCTCGCCACGAAGGTGTGTTGGCTTCCCGGAGAGGTTCGTGAGGCAATTCTCGACAAAATCCCCTTCCCTGGGGACGGTTGGGCCCCGCATTAGCTCCCTGGCAGACAGGCCTCCCATGTTCTCTGATCTGTTCTCAATGATGGGATGAACGCCGACCTTGAGACCCAGAGCGTGGAATACGGAGAATATGGCGAGGTCGACGCCTTTGAAAGCACCGGGGATCGATTTACGACCGCTTCCCTGAGAGTGTGCGTATTGATGGTGGCAGAAGAATCCTAGGATTCCGCCTAGGAGATCATGTCAGCGTGAGATCAATTCAGCGGTGGATGCGGGGAGCTCGCCTTGTCTCATGAACTTTTGCTGGAGGAGCATCCCATTCGCAATTTCAAAAAGCGGCAGATGATGAGGATGGGATACTGGTTGCGCAAGCTTTCCGATCGAGGAGTAGTATAGGTTGTATGTCAAGGTGATACGGTGACCTTTCGTAACCTCGAGGACTTCGTGTTCGCAATCTCCGTAGAAAGCTGCCCATTGGACAGACTGTGGGCTGGTATGGCCCCATGCGAAGTCTACTGTTTCGCCGCGGTGCTTGACGCGTAGTACACCGCCTGATTAAAGAATCAGCATAGTGACAGTAACCAAAGCGCTTGGCTACTGGTGCCGGGAAATCGAGTCACGAAAATCCGAGTCACGAACCTTCGTGTTGGCAAGGCAAGCATACAACGAGTGAGCCAAATTGCATGACTCCGCGTGGGGTATCCACATGGGACAGGAATTTACCAGAGGGTGCAGAATAAATCTGGAGCTCTCAATTAGTCCCATTTGCGACTTGACAGTAGTCTTGTTTTGATGTACATACATTGAGTTTATAGAGCTCCCCCCGAACGCCTTGCGGACCAATGCCGACAGCTTGTCCGCCTCTGATGGTGCTCGGAAGAAGTATCTGCTGGATGGAGTCCAAGATACCGCAATCGTGCGGGTGGAAATCAGTGGAGAATTGCGATGTGTCTAGCTTCACAGCCTTTCGGTATTTCTCGTCCAGGACATCGTGGCCACCAACGCCGAATGTCGCACGCTTGCAACTAGAAAGGAGGCCGTTGAGCATTCGGAATGAGCCATCGTGTTGATGTGGAAGAGGAAAGGAAATCTTTGATTGCTTGATATAGTGATCCTCCGAGTCCCATCGTATGGTGACAGATGGAAACAAGTTCTGCGCGCCAGTCCCAAGGTTGCCCGTACTTAGGTCTGAGATAGGTACGGATCCGCCGCAAGCAAAAGTAGCAGTGGCAGCATGCCCGTTGACCGCAGACGCGAGTTTCTGTAGCAGCGCGGTGTTGCCCTCTTGCACTCCATGGTTGCTCTGACCGTCAGCCATGATTACTGAGCGGGTTTTTGATCGAATAGATGTGGAAAACGCGAAGAAAGCGCGAAGTCAGGTGCATTTAAGCTGATGAGCAAGCGAGAGCACAGGCAGGCAGCAATTCCCATAAGCGTCAGGCAACCGAGTACTTTTCTGCAGATTTTGAGCCCCTTGCATGTATGGATGACGTGTCGGAGAGTCGGATGCTGCACTTTCCGAACTCCTACTAAAGATTGGTTCCTATTCAGTAGATTGAAGACTGGTGGGGAAAAAACTTTCGCCTCAGTTTGAAAATCAGGAGGGTATTTTGATTCGACCTATGTGCTGTCATGTTTGATGACATGCCAAGAAATGTAACGCCAGCAGAAGGTGTGTTTGTTCAAACTTGAAAAACTATCCGTGAGTATATTAGCCACGACTTGCCAACGTGAAACCGTGACTCCATGTGATCAAGTAATTCTGATTCCATACCCTCGAAATTATCGCAATGCCACCACCACCGAATACCAAGAAAGGCTATGAGCACCTCGAGCGGTTGGAGTGGCCGGAAGATCTGCTAGGTCCAAATTACTGGAAACCCAATTCTACCCTCATATCGGAGCTATCGCAGGATTTCAAAGGAAAAGTAGGTCGCGTTACGGAATCATGCATACGTTTCTACCAGAAAGTCAACCACCAGCAAGCACCGATGATCAGTGGCGACAAGAATGACCCGGATGCTATTCATGCTCTGCAATTTGCGATGAATCGTCAAGACGAGCTTGAAAAAGCGATCGAATCGCCCAACGAGCATCCGACTCAGCCACTCTTGTTGTGGCTATACGAACGCAAAAGATCTTTGGTCAAGGCGATGCAAGCTGTTGTGGTTGCTGAGGAGGGCGAGATGTACGATTTGGCAAACAAGGAACCCTGGAAGGTGAAGCTCGCGGACATGACGAATGAACACGTTGAATACCTAAGGTTCATCTTCCGTACCGTGATGGCCAGAATTGACATCGTGCTGGGGGATAAGGCGAATGTTAAGAGCGAGAAAATTCAGCCAACCCCCAGAGTAGCCATTGTACAGCCTGGGGTGACGGGGATCAATTTCCCAACCGCACCACCCGTCTCGTTCTGGAAGATAGACAATTCGCTGATGGAGAACTCAACATTGGAGATGCGCCAGGCAGCATTGGCAGTGTATCACCAAGGCCGAGTAATGAGTGCAGGTAGGAACAATATCCCAGTCACTGAACCAAAGCCCTTACCCCCTGTGTTCAATGTCACCGTGCGAGCTATGAGCCTCACAATCCGTAGCATCGACTTGGTGTGGGTTGAGAGACAAGGGGGTTTGCCCAAGGCAAAAGAGCGAAGGCTTCTCGCTTGGCTTCGGGAAAGGAAAAATGCCGCTGTCGATCTCCGGTTCGCCTTCATAGAGTTTCACCTCCCATTAGAATTGCACCGACGCACTGTTCAGATTGATAATTTTGGTCTGATATTCGTGTCGAAAAAGGGCAAGTACTCGGAGTGGGGAAGGTTGTTTCTCTTGTAGGCTCCAGGCCACATCAACATGGACGAATGATTGTCAGAGTGGGACCCAAGTCGGAGCCTGACGGCAAGCATACTTCGTCGGGGAGAGATGGTCCATTCCAAAAAGGACACGAGCTCCAAGGCTGCTTATTTTCCCGCGTTCCAAAATCTCTCCAAGTCCCCCTGCCTAACTTCATACGCCCAATGATGACAAGTCTGATGCATAACCGGACTGACATCTCGCCCTTCCTCGTCTTCTCCGTCATCAAAGACTTCCTTGATACCCATGCTCACATATTTCTTCAACAGCATTCTTCTCCACCTCCCCGTTTCCCCTACACATTTCCTCCATCGACTGATCTGCCTCTCATCGTCTTCACACCGCCGTCCCATGTAGAAGCGGCAGTACCATTGAAACCATCCTCTTACATCATATGTATGATTGATCCACCCGGCAGCTTCCCACTCTTCTATGCTTTGGCCGGAGGAGACTTTATACTTATTGATCTCCGCATCATAGGTAGGGGAGGTGAGAGATCGGGAAACGTCGAGGCCGGCATACCATGTGGACGGCAGCTGTCTATAGTCATCGGTAACTGTGATGCCGAGTCTTCGCGAGTATAGGGGCCGAAAGTAGGAGCCACCGAAACAGCCTTCTCGTATCAGCTCTTCCGGTGACTTGTTAGGCGTGAAAGACGATTGATCTTGGAAGTGAAAAGTGGAATCGTCATCTCGGATTGGAGGAGATGCATTGGACTCCCACGTTATCCAGCCGGCGCGTATGCTCTCTATGTCCTTCGCTGGTATTGGTGCTATGGCCACTGCTTCTTGTTTGATCACGGGCTCCTTCGCTTTCTTTGGGCCTACCCGCGAGCCTTTCTTGCGGGAGTGTCTCCAATCTTCGGCTTCATTTTCTGAGACGTAGAAGGGTTTGGCGGGCGTTGAGGCTATGCGTGCGGAGGATCGCGAGGGCGGGAGTGGATGGTCAAGCTTTCGCTTTCTTGCTGGTGGTCCCTTGGCAAGAGGAGGAGAGCTGGCTGATGGAGTGAGGTAAATGCCGAGTTGCGTCAGTTGTTCTCGGTTACGCTTGATGTTCTCTTGCCTCTGTGACTCAATATCATTCATGGTCATGATTCTGTTTCCGCTGAGAAAAGAACTCTCTTGCAAGCTCAGCATTCCCTCGACCGCGATCTGCGACTGTTTTTCAAGTCCGCGTGGATATCTAAAAAGGAAGGTGTACCGAGGAAATGAATCTCCTTGGCGCCAAGACTCTTCTCAGCCTCTTTCCTGTTGTACAAGTACCCATGGTACCTTACCACATGTACTCTACAACATACAATCAAAGCGCCAAGATTCTCGTCTAATCTTTTTCCAATGGGCGTCGCAGGATCATTAACCATGTTACTTGCTAGAACGGCCATCAGCCTATCAGACCTTTTCACTAAGTTAGCAACTCCCGGGCACAGCTTGGCCTGGTCCATCTCAGCCTGATCCGTTTCAGCCTGGCCCATCTTTTATTGAAGACTCTTCTACACCTCCGAGCTTCGAATGTGACTTGCGATGCTGATGAGAGGTGTGGATTCATAGATTCGTTGATCCATGGTTTTTGTTGATTCATGGCTTCATTAGTCGCCAGAAATGTTCCTATGAGTATGACCACGGTCTTCTTTTCTCCTCTCGCTCTCCTCTCAGGGCTTGGCGCTGGCCAAATGATCCTCGGCTTCAGCCTTCTACGGCGAAGGAGTCCTTAGACTTCAGTCCTAATGCAGTCATCCTGCAGCCATGATGACACAATGCAACCATTTCATGCGCATGGCCACGTCTGGTTCTTTTGCGCCAGCCCCAAGATCTCGCTTCAGACCTGTCCACCGTCACAATGAAGATTGCACGCAGTCCAGTTGTATGATTCTTTTTCCCCATTCGACTGGCCATTCGGTGGCATCATGCACCACTACTAGGACCACAGCAGTGAAACTACTTTCTGTTGTGTAAACGTTAAAGTGACGCTAGTTCAGTGTTATGCCTGATATAGCTAAATTACGGTACAGAAAAAGCTTCCCGACCCTTACTATGTCAGAAGTGGACCTCGAACCCTGGTCAAAGTCTCGGCATCGAGAACATCGCGCACACCTATGAAAGGGTACCATGGAAACACCCCTTATAGGCCCACCATCTCCTAGTCTAAGAATAGGTATCTCGGCCTAAGAATGGTCAATTCTGCCTGCTCTACAATTTACCCTACGAAGATCTTAGAGGGCGTTTAAATATCAGCTATAGATGCTCGATCACATTCCTGACATGGAACCTTGTCATCAGACTAGGTACGTGTAAAATCTCCGATAAGGGTTCAATGATACATAAATTGATGGCGGAGGGGGGGGTGGGGGTGTGTCTGCCCTTTTGTCGATGCTAAATGTTCTACAGGTAAAATCTTGCACACGAATATTAATCAATTAAGCTACGCCGTTGCTGCCGTTTCTCGGCAACTCCATAAGATGCCGTCAATGTTTTCCATCTCAGATACAAAAGAAAGACTTATTCCCTACAGTCACCTTTCAATTTGGTTCTGTGATGCAACGGCACCCTTGCGAATTTTAGAAAGCTGCCGACATCCGTCACATTGTCTTATCTTATCGACACCTCATGGCGCCATCTAGCAACGCCACACCTTCATCTTCAGCTGGCGCAAATAGTAAGGTAGATTCTGTATGGCTTGCCACTCAATCGACCAGCGTTGCCATTGGGACTCTTTTAGTCCTGACACGGATCTATATAAGGTCTATCATTATCAAAAAATTTGGTCTAGATGACATGTTCATCGTGATTGGTCTGGTAAATGATCCTGATTAGCACAAGGCTTCTGCTGTACTGACCACATTTAGGTCATCGCTCTTGTCGTCTGTGCGATGACCAGCCTTTCCGTTCACTACATTCAGCAATACTTCTCCGATCGCTCCCAAGGTCAAACAGTCGCAGCCATCAGCAATTTCACTCTTGCTCAAAAATTGCTTGCTCTGTCGTTGCCAGTCGGAATATTTTCTGGTCTATGTACTAGACTTTCCGTCTGTCTTTTCTTACTACGGATCTTTCGATCGATCAGAGCATGGAGAATGGGTCTTTACGCTGTGATGGCGTTTGCTACGGCCGTGGTGATACCCACCCACATCATCCTCCTTGCCCATTGTCAACCGATTCGGAAACAATGGGATCCGTTGTCACCAGGGACTTGCTGGTCACCTCTCATCCTGAGCCGCACGAGTTATGCGTACGGAGGTAAGTATCAATGCGCCTGAATCGCTTTTACATTCGAGTCGCTTGCTAAGACTATATTAGTGACGTCAGTGCTCTGCGACTGGATACTGGCAACTTTACCAATCGTGTTCATGTGGAATCTACAGATGAGGGTCCGGGTCAAGGTGGGGATATGCGCCTTGATGGGAATGGGCTACTTGTACGTTCGTCTTCGCGGCCCAAGCATAATTTGCTGCTGACCGATACGCCCAATGTTAGCACCGGAATATGTGCCCTTGTCCGCACCCTCCTGGACAAGGAACAACCCTTTCTCAAACCGACAGACGAATACCTTCAAAGCGGTCCCGCTCAAAAAGCTATCTGGGCTATGTAAGTAGACTCGGACTCTACCTAGCTTGTCCTCCTACCGTCTCACCATTTCCTATCGGTCACCGCTAACCGCAATTGACTGTTTCGAAGCCTGGAAGTAAACGTTGGCATCATAGCCGCTTGCATCCCGACTCTCAAACCCCTCTTCGACCACTCACGTCCTTCCCACCTCAGGTTTTTCAGATCCGGCAAAGCGGCCGAGACCCCTGAACTGGACGATGACAAGGCCTGCCGGAAGATACTGTCCCTCAATACCCTGGAGAGCACGCTGCCCTCCTCCTTGGCAAATTCCCTGAACTCGAGTGGGGACTCCAGAGTAAGCCAAGCGCGCTATGATGGGGCGTCTGATGCTGCAAGTCCGCCGGACTCGAGGGTTTAAGCGGTGCGATGGCCGCCGGGGAGATGAGATTCCTGAATATATTTTTATTGATGATAATGGGCTCTTGCGCTAGGGAACGGAAATACGTGAGAAGGAACAAGCAAGGTATAACGAGGCATTGTAAGGAAATATGTAAGTTTCAGTGAAGCTTTACCGTGGGACTGGTAGGTGTGAACATTGGATCCTTCGAGATATTGTGTTGCTCGAAATTTCCCTTTGCATCATGTTGTGCTTCCGATGCGAAACATTTCAACATCATCCCCATTGTCACATTCCGCAAGCTCAAGGTTCTAGTTCTCGCGTCGTGAGCGGCTTCCGAACTCGCTGAAGCAACTCAGCATCAGCGTGTCCTTTTCACGAACCGATAGCAAGCGCGGTCACTATGGTGGACTGTGAGGTCCGGATCCGCAAATTATCGGCCCCTACTGATCGGACAATACGTAGTCCGTCAAATATTTTTGATCTCAAAGCATCAACCACGCGATGGTTCGACTCCTGAAAAGCATGCATTTCGTGTTCCAAAGCCTGAATCGGACGCAATCCCGGCAGAAAGCCCCACGGTCCATTCCCGCCATAGGCTAGCAGATGCCACATCACTACAATCATTCCACCCTCTCCTCGACCCCGAACCTCAATGCCCTTTCGGCCCAACGACACGCACCCACGCTTTCCTCCTCATCCAACTCACCCCAGGACTTTCTACTTCTCCCTGCCAGCCACATCCTTCTTCCCCTATCAGATTCCCCAGCTGCCTTCCATACCCCAGACATCCTTTCCGAGCCCTCGCCGTCTTGCCCATCGATCCCTCTCGCAAATCTTCACCCGCCCGTCCCATGCAAGAAATCCGCGGCGTACACCCCGTCCATCATCTCCCCCCCGCAACCTGAACCGGTCCAGAGCATGCACCGTCGTCGTCGTCGTCGTTCGCCACGGCCGTCTGCCGTCGAAGAAGTGCCCGTTCGTCGTACTTATCTCCGTCTCTAGAGAATCAATCGTAGCTCCGGTCGGGGTCGCACGCCGTCGGTGACGCGGGTCTTTTCCGCACGGGAATGCGCGCAGCGGCAGTAGGCGGGGTCGAGGCGCGTGCGTGGGGATCGTGGGGATGGCGAGGATGCGGGTTGGAGGGTGATGGGGATGGAGAGGGAGAGGGAGAGGAAGGGGATGTGGGAGTCAGGACGAGGATCGTTCTCGCTGGCTGCAGGTCAGCGTTGCTGGAGGTTCGGGAGAAGATGGAGATGGAGATGGCGGGACGGAGGATTACTGTTTTGAGGACGTGGGTGGTAATTTCTGGTGGGGGGAAGAGGGGGGTGGGTGTAGTGTTCGAGGAGCGAGCGGTGTGCTGGGCTCGGATTGAGGAGCGAGCGGTGGTACCAGGGGACGTCTTTGGGATGTCGATCTCGTTTGGCGGGATTGTTTGTTTGGATCATTGGAGGGGATAGTGTTGTCTCTATGCTTCTCTGTTTCCTTTCCTGTGTCATAGACACCGAACCTCGAGATCCGAGATCCACCCGCAGCACGACCCCCCCGCGCCCGAGACGGTCCGCAGCCCGCTAGATTCTAACAACAATTGGGCTCAAGGTAAGTCTAACAGCAGTACTTAGCAAGGTCCTCGGGGGCCCAAAACTGCCCGTCTTTACTTCAGGGGGTCGTGGCATTTTGCTTCTTCCGGGCTTCCATTCTGCAGGGACATTCCTCCGCGTCTTCGGCATCCTCACGCATGGCCAGTTGATGAGGGTTGTTGAGCTCAGTGATTTCATTTGGGAGATGGTGGAAACGGGTTTTAGAGGGAAACCCTGATCATCTCTCCAGAAGCACTCTCGGGCGATAAGTCCGGGGGACAGAACCATTTACCAGGGCTCACGCAGCGGGAGACAGCAGGAAACGAGCGGTAGGAAGAAAATTTGCCCGTCTCGTTTGGCTCCGTTCCCTGCGCTTGATGACTCGCAGCTGGTAACGGGCGAGGAGGCCGGCGACGTGGGTGTTTTAGATGCACTGCCATATCCCGGGCCATTGACGCGTATCGAGTGCAGGATTGCCATTGTTTATGAGGCAATGCATCGACACTGAGCTGCTGCTTGAACGCTGGGCTATGAGCCAGTATTTTGATTCGTACGTCATGGTATGTATCGCCTTTCCCCTGTCTTGCAAACTAAGAATTGAATCCCTCAGATTTCTGGCGGGGAAGAAGGGCGCTGTCTACTGTCTGAGGTCAAAACTCACAACCTTATGGGGTAGCAGATGTAGGTTCCCTTGTGGCTGTGCATCCACGATTATGTGCTGTAGTCTTACCCATTCCGGCACGCGGCGCGACATACCTTCTCCTTCGAGCAAAAGAGACATACTGAGTTAGATCTCGTCCGATGAATTTTACCCCGCGGTTTGTGCGTCACTCATGCATATTGACCGAATCAGGTCGATACTAATGTCGAGCTTATGCAAGCCGACTGCGTTAAGTTTTCCCTGGCGCATCTGCGATTGGTCACGCTGTCCCCTTTCGATGCAGAGATCTCCCACGTTTATTTTCTCTCAATTGCCAGGTACGGGGATATCATGCAGGCAACTCGTGGTCTTCAAAGTGAAAAAGCGCTATCCCATTCTTGTCTCCGGGCGTGCTCGGGGATTTCATCATCACTTGCGCGACCTCCAGTCTTTCCTACCTTATAACGAACCTCCAGTTTTCCCCCTTTGATCATTCTCGGCACCACCAGCACCAACGCTTCTAGACCGGTTTTCAGAGCACGAAGCTAGTAACCAAAGTGTCCCTCAGGAAACCCTCAATGTCAGTAACCGATGTCGAAGGCTGGGGCGCCGCAGCCGCAGCCTACGCGCAAGTCGAACGCGTCACCACCCCGCCCTCTCAATCACTCCTAAACCGCGTCTCTGCAATCCTCCCGCTCAATGCCCCCAACACTACGGCCTTCGACAACGGCTGCGGTACCGGCGTTCTGACCACCATTCTAAAACAACAGAATCCAAATGTCCCGCTCCTCGCAGCCGATTACTCGGATGGCATGGTTGACATCCTGAAGCGCCGAGTTCAAGCTCAGAAACTGGAAGAAGTCACCGCACGAGTCGTCGATGGCCGGAACCTCCAAGGCATCAAAGACGGCAGCTTCACGCACACCTTTTCCACCTTTATGGTCTGCCTGGCTCCAGAACCCGACAAGATCGTCGCCGAGATGCACCGCGTCACGAAACAAGGCGGCGTGCTCGGTCTGGCCGTGTGGGGCGATCCGCGCTTCGGTCCCTTTTCCTCGCCGTGGGAGAAGGCGTGCCGGAGGCTCATTTCGGACTACGAGCCTCCCATGATCATGCCCGCCGAATGGACGCTTGCCGAGAATGTCAAAGCGGGACTTGAGAAGGCGGGGTTCGGAGACGTGGACGTCTGGGTGGAAAATGTGGCTTGGCGATGGGACAGTGTCGAGGCATTGTCCGGGTACTATTTCGAGGGAGGCAACCCAGGGAATGTGAAGGTGCTTGACTCGTTCAAGGCGCTCGGCGGTAAGGTGGATGAGGCTAGGCCGATCTTTGAGAGGATAATTAAGGAGGAGTGTGGGAAGGAAGATGGATCCGTTGAGCTTCGTGTTCCGGCAACCCTTGCTACGGCGCGAAAGTAATGCTGTTGTGCATGATGGAGATCCAAGAGATTGGCTGAGAGGGGTTGATTTGTTGATAAAAAGAGCATGTGATGTAGAGTTTCATGAAATTGACTGTTGATGATCTCGGTAGCTGAATGTCAGTCAGGTGATGAGGTTATGTAGTCACAAAAAGGACGGTAAAGGATACTCAGAACACTCGTAAGCCGCAAACCCCGTCCAGAATAATGAGAAACGAAATGGACGGTTTAATTCACGTCCCATTGGCAGTCTTCTCTAGCATTGCTTCACCCTGTGCGCATAATCGAAGGCTTTTGCGAATGCCAAAAAATGCACTGTGAGGCCGACAGCCATGAGCACGTGGAAAATCTGGTGCGATTGGCCCCACGAGTCGAACCATCCTGGTCGCCACGCTTCGGGTATTCTAGTCTGCCGCGGACTTTAGCTTTGTGCCCTTGAGCAGAGACCTCGTCTTTCAAGTAACTTACCCCGTAAATCGTGACGGCACTCAAATACACAAGTATTGTGATAGCGTATCGGGTCGCTCCAGCCTCGACGTCCATCTGGTTATATCCATGCACGAAGCATGCGTATATAATGGGGTAGAAAGCCGACGAAGCCATGAATGAGAATAGAAAGCCACGTAAAGGGCGCCATGCCGGCTGGCGGACACGGCGTACGAAGAGCACGAAGACTGCTGCAAGTATCTGTGCCACGAGATCAAGCTAAAAGGCCTAATCAGTGGTAGGTCTCGGATAATGCCTCGAAGTCAAGGCGGGATTTGTACATACGCTGATCCAGAACATCTTCGTACTCCTCGCCGAGCACGGGAAGGTGTACCACATACCTGGCGGGAAGCAGCCTGCGGTCACGGCGCTAATGCCAAGAAGGTCCAAGCGATGGTAAACATCATGGACTGCATGAGAATGGTTTGATAGGATATGATACCCGGTCGACAGGCCGAAACAAAGAGCTCCGCCGAGAAAGAAGAGGCCAAAGACGACCCAGTCGTCAGTGTTCGCATCTGAATAATGGCGTTTGGCATACGGGTAGTAGAAGATAGGAAGGCCGATCATCCATAAGGTTGCCAGGAGATGGCTATAGATGTTGCCGGTCTCGTTGTGCACGTACATGCAGCTGAGGAAGGACTCAATGTATGAGTTCGAGGTTGGCCGGAAGCCAGTTTGGATGTATTCGTTGTCCTGGGACCATGAGGGGAGATCGTCCCATGTGAGTAAAGAGCGATCGACTTTGGGCTTCTTAGGTGGGTTGTGGGATGAAACGTGCTCTCGAGTATTGGCGTCGCACTGATTGGACAGTCTCTGCCGTATGGTAGGAGGCATGATGAGGGCTGTGTAGATTGGAAATTTGTCGATGAGATTGGAGGTCCAAAGACGGGATACTTTTAGAAATGAGAGGTATGTCGGCCAGGTAAGCTGCTAGAGATAGTGACGGTCTGAAAGGCTAAGACTGTCTTGGTTCATTGTCAATTTGGGGCATGAACACGGAAAGAGCTGGCTTTTACGACTACACTTACTCCATGAAAAGTGGTAAAGAATGGCAGTTCTTCGCATTACCTAGGTGCTCGAAATACGATGCCAAGAGAAAATTGACGAATGATGTTGGGCGGGTAATAATGTTGGCGCAAAGAATAACGTGCATCTTTAGGGCTGCGGGGAGATACGCTTTTCCGGTTTGTATGGTGACGAGCCACGTTCAAACGGGCTGATTTTCTCTAATAATAGCAGCAGGGTGAGCTTTGGTCTTCTTGTCGAATGAGTAAATCCAAAATATCGGCACCGGTTTCCAATCATCGCCTGTGCTTTTTCATGTGCAATGGACGGTATGGCCGTCGGCCTTTACCTATGCATTCCTCGGTGTCTTGTCAAAGCAGTTGATTGTGCACACAGGAAGAAGTGACGCCAAAGGAGTTTCGACATCCGGACAGCAATCACATCGTAGTGTCAGAGGGTTGGATTTGTGGATCAACGTGATGTCGAATACTCCAGTCAGGCTAGAGAGAGACACTACGTGGATGTCTGTTGAACCATTGTAGTTCATATTACAACGTCTACTCCCTCCACCGAATCCCCCATTCCCCTTTCGCATAACTTGCCTCGACCACATTCCCGCTCATAACAGCCTCGCACTTCTTCCTGGACTCTTGCCTTCCTCCTCCATCATCACCATCTTCTCTAAGTAATCCAACGCTCTGCTTTCCCTTGCCGTGGCCCTTGCCCTTGCCCTTCTCCTTGCCTTTCCCCTTCCCTCCACTATCTCTCCCATCCTCACCTCCAACCAAATCATCAACCACAACCCCGAAAGCACACAGTCTCCTCGCCGCACACCTTACCAATTCCCTCTCCTCCGCCCGCTTCTGCCCTTCTAGCCTCTTCTCTAGCATTTCCGGGGTTTCGGTAATCTTCTCCGCCCAGCCTTTCTCGCCGCCTATGCTGCCGTTCACTTCAGATTTCGATTGAGGGGGTCGGACTCGAAGGCTTATCATGTCGACCTGGCCAGTGGCAGAGATGTCAGACTCGGTTTCAGAGGAGTAGGACGAATTTGTAGCATCGACGGGGTTGACGGTGAGGGGATCTATAGCAGACGTATTAGCGCGTGGATGTTATATGGAGGATTATATGGAGAGGCTCTATTGGTAGGTCAATTCGAATACTCACTTTCAGCATCATCATCTTTGTCTTCCATATCAACGGGTTTCCACTCCTTCGGTTCGGGAGCACCTCGCCGAGCTCTGTTCTTCTTCCTCCCATATGCTTTTTCGGGGTCGTGTCTTACGCCAAAAACAAGCGCCTCGATTTCAGCACAGGATACCGTGACACGCGTTTCGCCTTTGACTTTCTTCGAGACGCCTTTGGTACCCTTGAGGACAGATGGATTGGGTGATACTACAGTGTTAGAGTCCTGCGACAGAAACAGCGAGAGGTCTTTACCGTCGAGTAAAGCGATGAATGTGTCTTGAATGCGACGGTCGGTGCTGCTAGGCGCTTGGCTTGGTTTATTATGACGGCATCGATCGGAGCAGTATTTGACGGTAGTTGAGGCGGCTTTGGTAGTTTGTGACTTCCGGGTGCCTTTGAATGTAGAGTGAGTACATGCTGCATGACAATGGGGAACTACATTAGGGGAGAAAAGGTTCCTAGGAAACGTAAATCGCATGGTAGAGCAAAGGAAGCATGCTTTTCATCGCCTATGGAAAGAGGGAAAGCGAAACGGAGGAACTTGAACAGTCTGAATCTATCACAAGATGTCCACATGGGTTTGACGGTCCCCTCAGCGTTGTGGCATGTTGGAATCCGGAGTCATGGAGCTCGTCCTATGCGTATGAAAATTCGCGTAGAGTCTCAAGCAGAGTGGGCACAAGATGGAAGCGAGAACGAGGATAAAGAGTCACAAATGGATTTCTGCAGTACTCACTGATGATGCGGCCACAAGTATGACAATACGGAATTGCCTCGCCTCCAGGTGTCAGATAGAGTGGTGGAGGCGTAGCGGCGTGCTGTAATAGTTTGAGTACAGTTTTGCGTCATTTGTGGGCCTGTCTGTGTTCAACTGAGAAGCGTACCTTTGTAGGTCGAGACCAGCTATCCATCCATGACATGATGTCTCTGTCCGAAGGATAACACCCGCAAATTCTTGCTTATGTTGGTTGGTTGGGCGAAGGCGATAGTAAAGTCGGTCGTCTGTGAGTACTTTGTCAGACTTCACAAGGTCGGAGAACTGCCACCACGCAGCAGAGGAGGGTATCGGACACAGCTCCCAGACGAGTCGTGGCTAAGCGTCAGCTTTTCCAAAGCATCATACAAGGTACAAGTAAATGTAGCGTCAAGCAGATAGCAACAAGCAAACGACAGCGGGAAGGTTGTTAGTAAAGGGTGACGGTTTTGGCATTGGACCTATAGGTAATCAGTGAGTTGGTTCTGTAGAGTAATTCCACGGTGGCAAGGTTTGAAACCTCAAACGGGAATGGCGCCTTGGCAGGATTATCTACCGTAGTGGCAAAGCGGCTAGCTGCTACCACCAGTAGCATAGTCACAAGCTGTACATTTGCCACAGACAAAATGCAAGACTTACACTCGCAAGACAATGCCTTGCTTCAGTATTTGATCTCCTTTCCGTTGTCTCCATACCTGGATGACTACAAGTAGTGAAGTCCACGATCACACCAGTCCGCCCACACACTATTTGAATCACTTGAATGTGAATAAGAGCAGCATTGCCGTTGGCATTGTCGTCCACCCAGAATCATGGCCAAGCCAACGACGAAAAAATGGGAGAGCGACAGCTTCTATGCCGGCATTGGTGCTGAGCTCAAGGGATGATGCTGGTGGACCCAAGTGATCAGGTTTCAGCCTTGCCATATCCATGAAATTCGAGAACCAGGACTTCGTGTTTGGACTAGACCGTTATAGACACAACATTCAGCACCGTGCTCGATGCATTCCCGTAAAATCTCTTCTTCCCTTCAATGCGCCAGCAGGGATTTCATCTTTCGTGGCGGGCCGCTAGACGCCAGAGTCCCCTAAGGCGATATCCGCTTTCGAAACAAAAACATTAGCGACGCCACCTTCTCATTTCCAGGACCTCAATTGCCATCTGTTCTCATCTGTTTTACTCGGAACGTGCTGGCTGTTTGACCTAGGCCATGGTGAGACTTAAGTTATTGTTAATTTTGCTTTCCTTTGGCAACCCGGCCCTGGTTTCTGCCCTGTCGATCACCGCCGCGATTCAATTACCTCCGAACGATACTTATCCAGACACTGTAGTTGTGAATGATACATTTCTAGATTTGTTGTCTCTTCAGAAGTAAGCTCAGAGCATGACTCACATCGACCAGCCAAATAAGCTTACCGTAGAAACCCCAGTGCCACGGGACTTACGGCACCACCACCGCCGCCCGCAGACTTTGAAATGAGGTACTCGTGGAATGAGAAGGTGAAATTCAAATGGGAGCAGGTATACAGCAACACGATCGACCTCATGGCGGATTTGGCTGTGCTGGGTTGGAACAGTGAGCTCCGAACTTTCCCTGTGACGGTTTTTGCTGGGCGGCGCTTTACCACACAGATTGTAGTAGACACTCTACTGCCCCCGCTTCAGATAAAGTACCTCGTTTGGGGTCTCTATCAAACAGGTCTCCAAATAGGCCGAGGCAAGCACGCTAGGCTTCAAGCGGATATGGTACTGCAGGGTCGACCGCTTGGGTTCTTTACCTACGATACGAGAAGATACGAAACAAAATTGCCCGGGCTGTCCGGGTACCCGACCAATAGCACGCTTCTTTTGAATGGCGATAATCCTGTGAACTACACCTCGATCGCCGCTTCAAGTCAAAAATCCGATCTGCAACTGTCACCGAGTAGTATTTTGACAGTAGACCACGGCACAGCGTTCGACCCTGACGACACGAAGTTGAAGATCTACTACGAATTTGACGGCGTGAAAATCTCGTCTAGTCAGATCTTTACCGCCTACCTGGATGCCCTGGCCACTGCGGCGGTACACGGTCATGACGAAACAGACGCTGCAATCATTGCCTACAGCGAGGACCGTCACACGTCAATCAACGTACGCAGGGATATCTCATGCACGAGTTTTACCTGGGGCATACTCATACGGGCTTTGTTCACGGTTTGGGAGTACGGCACCTTGGGGTATGCTACGTTGAGGGATAAAAGGTGGGAGGGATTGTCCTTTACGATCGATTACGATGGTAAGCCAGCTGGTGAGGGCTTAATTTTGTATAATCCGAGGCCACCACACGAATTAGCAACTTCGAGGTGAGAGATCGGAATTGGAGAACTGTGTGTCGAAGAGGATACCTGTGACAAGCTGCGTAGATCCTTCATGAGAACGTGGAGAGAGTGACAGGGAGGCTTAGATACACACCCAGACGCAAGGATCCATGCATCTTCAGCTCAGAGCACAAATTCACTAGGGTTCAGACAGCGTTTCGGGTTAGATCGTTCCGACGCAGTCAATCGACGTGTATCATAATCCATTCGCGAGGACGAAAGTATCGTACCGCAGGACCTCTTATCTGCCACACTTTCTACTTCAGCAACTTTGATGATAATGTATCGGTTGTCGGGGTCGAGCAGAGAAACAATTCTGACCCACATGGAACTCGCTCCGTATAATGTCACTACTACGCTATTGCTAGAATTGACCTCGGATTTGGTCATCACGACGTCGTGGACGTGGATGTATTTGGCATTAAGATTATTGTTCAAAACATCTTCAAAACCCAAGGTGGTATCGATGAATGTCTTGTGGATGTTTAGCTTGTGGGCCTTCGGGTGTCGGGGGGTAGGGGGGTGGGAGGATATCTGGAAAGTTGTTCATTATGACGAGCACTTAGTCCTCGACCCGTTGAGAGTCGTTCGCTATCTCGATGACGCGGAAGGCGATGACCCTAAGAATGTTGGTTAGAATGCAGGCTGGAGCTTCTGATGACTGTGAGGGTGCGTTTGTATCGAGGCACGATGTTGGAAGAGCATAGAAGTCAAATCCAGGCGGTCGATTTACTTGCGAACATGTTGGGGGTAAGTACCCTTGTATGAGATCTACACCCTCGAAGTCTGGCCACGAATGAGAAGGCATTGGAGCCTTGTTCGGAAAGAGAATTCACTACTTGGGAAAGTTGTTATGCCAGAATTCCCATAACTCTGCTTCAACTTACAACGTTTCTACATTCCGCCACGGGACATCAAGCAAATCGAAACCTCAACCGTCCCCTCCGAAAGCTTCCACAACTTCACGAATCGTCATAGTACGCCGCCAAGAACATCGCCCGCGCGTCCGCATCCCTTGGGTAAAAATACCGCACCTCCACCGCCCCCTCCACCGTACACGCACGCCCCGGCCCGAAATTCACAAACAGCACCCAAAACACCTCGGCGGTGCTGCTCGCGGTCTCCGTCACGACGTACCCGGCCTCCACCCCGTTCACGCCGATCGTGGCTGGAAGTGCGCGCTGCCGGATCAGGATGGCGACGACGTCTTCGGGGACGGTCGTCGGTGGGGAGGTGGGGAGGTTGCGCGTTACGTCGTCTATGGTTACCGGGATGGAGATGTTGGTCAGGCGGAGGAGGCTTTCGTGGACGAAGGCTTCCAGGAGGGAGGGGGAGTGCGCGAGGTGGGTTGCGACGAGGAGGTAGTCGGATGGGATGGACATGGTGGGGATGGTGAGGTCTGCTTTGAGGGGGATGACGGGGTTTGGGGCCTTATGTGGAAGTTTGGGTGGATGGGGCGGAAGGGTTTTGAGGGCGCTGTCTCGAAACGTTTGTCTTGCACAGTGAGTGAGAGTGTTTGAAGGATTGACCTCATGAGAAGTAGCGAGGCTTTCAGGCAAAGTCTGCTAGGTAATTTGTTTCCGAGTCCCGGAATCTCGTCAGACATATTATCGTCTAGGTTCCCAAGCATTCACCGTCCCTTCTGGTAAGGTGTCTCACTCTATCACTGTCAGCATATCTCGAAGAGGGTGTATTAAGAACAAGAACGAGCGAGCCATGAGCTCGTAGAAGGGGTTGTTAGTCTTGACTGATAGAGAGGCTCTCTTGACATGAAGGATGATTTCCCCCAAGAGACCTTTGCCAAGTGAAGTCGGAAGGAAGTGAAGTAACAAAAGCTCTATCAGATATGGTTGTAGATCTCTTTATAGGCTCGAATAGCCCTATCGGCTTCCACGACCTCTTTAATGTCTTTGCGCAGACTGAAGTATCTCACCACCGGGATTCCTTCTATCCTAAACCTATAATCTTTATCGACAATTAGAATGTAAGAGTTCACGGGTTTCCTTTGATAAGTGTATACGGGAGCGGTTTCCTTCTCCCACGTGGTAATTCGAATGACGTCTGAGCTGCTTTGTTGCGCGATGAAGATAGCGAAGGTACCATTGGGAAACACGGTTTCGGGATCATGTGGAGGCTGTGTAGGTCCTATAAAGGCGCTCATAGCGGTCTTGCTAGATATGAGAATTGTCTGGGATGGTGAAGTAGGGCTGGAAGTCTTTTCTTACCAGTTCCTTGACCTTTTGCTCGAGCTTCTGGTCATCGTTGGCTATTTCCGTCACGTTAAAGATCTGATGAGACATGCTGATTGAAATGACTTGTGGTATCGCCGGAACCAGAATAGCAGCAGTAGAGCTCTTGTTTAGAAATAGTAATTCTCAAGACACGAAAACCAAATACATGGCCTTGGTGTCAGTTCATAGCAAGTCAGGCACTGTAGTCTGGAAGGTTGAATTTGAAGCAGACCTCGCTTTATCTATATCGTAGAGTCCCGCTATCTTTGGGGCTACTTCAGCGACAAACAAGTCAACGAGAACTGTACGAGGAAACACTAAAATTGCGATTTGCCTAGGATTCAGGGCGTCGAAGTTCTTTCCAATGCCCCCAATGAATATTCCTGAATTCTTGGGTGTTTTTCATAGAAAATGCGAAACCCGGAGTACCTAATGATTCTTCCTGTTCGACCCCGGTCCCATGCGTCAGACGGAGAAAGATGTCGTTCGTAGTGTACCTCTTCAAATTAAGGGATACATAGGAAAGTGTGCATCTTTAGCTCAAGTATGGCTTGATCAATGTCTGCAGACTATCGCAGTCCAAATCAGAGCGAGTTATTCATGCTCCCGACACGGGTCGTTGATGTGGAATGCAACATATGAATCAAACCTGAAAGCTTTGCGTTACGTCCAACAAGTGGACTGGTCATCAACTCGAGCGCTTCACACAGATTTGCTAGAGCTAAAATAGGAGCCAAACAAACTGAGTCCCTAGAGGTACATATAATGAGGTATTCGGTAATGAATTAGATATACTAGACAAGTAATGACTACAATAGGATAAAAAGTCTATGGAGGAGCGGAACGAGCATTTGTGCTCCGCAAGGAGTCCGCCAAGATGTCAGAAATGTACCCCGAACTTGTACCGAGCTCACTATCCGTGGATGCCATAAGTAGTAGGTTCATGTCGCTTTGAATTTGCTTGATTTTGGGTGAGCCGGCCATTCCCTTTGACATATCTCATGCGCTGTCGAAACGACACACCAAACCATGACCCTTGAATTGACGGAGCCTTTCGGCGAGCCGGTCCCAAGAAGCCGGAGGAATTGTTCCTTGGAGGTCATAGTATTACGGTCTGTTGCACCAATATGACGGCTCAGGGCAGAGTTCTGCTCAACGATTGTTTGACTGGGGTGTTTGCCAGTCTTTCAAATTGCCCCCGTGGCAAGCCATCAAAGCTAAGTATAGAGCGGAGACCATCGGCCTCTGCGTTAGAGTCAACGCAAATTTTCAAAGCACATGGTAAGCAGCATCTCCACGAATTGCGGAGGACTACGCCGCCGCCTGAGAGCGCAAGCGATATATGCACCTTTCTCGTGTCATCAAAAACAAGAGACGTATTCAAGCTTGTACTATAATCGGTTCTGGAGCCATTGCTGGGATTGTCTACCCATTGAGTGAAGATATCTTCGAACGTGCAGGCGTTGATGTTCAGGTTTGGCCCCAGCGTTTCCTCGAGCTGCTCAGGCTTTTGACTTGACCGACTGTGGGTGCAGAGAGGTTGATGGCTCCTTGAAAGATTCATCATTGATTGAGTCGGATCCACAAGGCGAAGATGATTGTTGACTTTAACGATGACCAACAGTCTATGTAGGGATTTTTCGGCGCGAAATAAGGCTTTTTGGACCTCGAGGGGTGTGTCATCTGTTTCGGCAAGCTTCTCGGATGAATTTGAGACTACATCCATCCGGTCAAAGTGGTCGTATTGGGCCGCAGATGCTCGCTCGGTTTGAATCAATGCTATGTCGTCTTTGATGCCCTGGATAATGCCTTCATAAATATGGATTCTGAAGGATCCCGCGATGTCAAGGGGCGCACGGAAATCTAACCACGGCGCTAAGACGGCAAGACTCCCATATTGCACCCCAACCCAGGAGGGTCTGCTTATATGTCCTGAGTCTTCGGGGGCATCGGCATATGAGCCCCATGAGCAGCCAGTGACCGCACAGGCTGCTACTTTAAACCAAGTGTCCCATCGAACGATTTCTTGATCTATAATCTCCGAGAGCAGCGTTATGACCCCCGCCCTCGCGTCTTCCGGGTCCAGAGCTCCGGAAACATCATCCGCTCCGAGAGCATCAGCTACGGCATGCGAGACGAGGATGCCGAGTTCCAGCACAGCGGAGTAGCGCAAGCAGCCCCTTTTGCTGCCAGAAAGACTCCCTTCGGATCGGCAATTTGGACATTGACAAGATTTCTGCACTGTCTCTAACATTTCTTCGGCGCTGGGAAAGTTTTTCAAAACCTCTTCTGGAGTGGCGTTGGACCCCCACTGCTCTGGGTCAGTGTTCTGCGAGCTCATTGGCGAGCCCTGCCAAAGAGGTCTTCTAAAAGGCGGAGCTGAGCTCCCTGATTCCCCAGTTTTCTCTTGTAAAAGACGAGGTGACCTAAAGAGGAGTTGCGCAATCTTATGATCGCGCGAGCGATCCCGATCTTCATCCAACTCAAGCTCAGATTTGAAGCAAAACCCGGCATGTTGGGGCCAATCTTTTACGTTGATAGGAACATGCATCAGCCATTTTGTAATACGCCTCGCCGCGTGTTTTATATCATTCCGCTCTTCTTTGCCAAGATGTACCTTGTACGAGCTGTGTGTAGTGCTCATGAAGTTCTCGGTCGTGTAGAGCTTTTGTCTTTGGTACGAACGGGGCTTCAGATGCTCAGATGATGATCCCCCAACCAAGCGGCAAGGCTCGCCATCAACAATCTCAGCGAGCACCACCGGCCATGCTCGGCTGTTACAGGCTCTATGATCATTAGTGCAGGTCTCCTGGATAATGGTGATGATTTTTCTGGTATGAGCGCCAAGCTTAGCTTCGTAAATCTTTGCAGACTTCACATACACTTCGAGGTACCCCTCAAAGTGGTTGAGCAGCCACAGAACAACGTCACCAGGAAACCTGTCGGCGCGCAGTACTAGATCATTGGACGCCCTCTGTGTCTGCATCACAATCGCAGCAAAATTGGTATCATCCACGGGATGGACATGGAGATTTGCCAATTCTGGAGGAAGGTTTCCTGTTTGATGTCCAACATTTGAGATATTGAGAAAGATGCTTTCGACCACTTTTGAAATGACGGCCCTGATTGGAGCCCTCCAGACCTCGTAACTGTACTTGGTCTCTGTTTGGTGTCCACCTTTATCAAGTACCATCGAAGTAAGTGCTGACATGGTATAAGGCAGGTCGTGGTGTGCGAGAAGACAGGCTGTCGTGGAAGCCATATAACAGATCTCGGGCTCCTTAACAATGTATCGGCCAAGCGCTTGAGAAAAGGTCAACGCTAGTGGCAATTGCCTCTTCTGCAACCTTTGCAGTCGTTCATCGGCATGAGCAACACTGCCAGAAAGTATCATTCCATTTTTGTTTGGATAGGCGAGGCTTCGAGCCGCAGTCATACAACGCTCGAAATTGGCCTCATCTACGCCAGAGCGTTCAAGCCATCTCAGTAGATCTCGTGTATATCCCACAACCGCCCCTGCGGGATTAGCAAGGTTGAGAAGAGCTGTCGCAAGATTGAATCCGGCGCTTGTAGCAGACACTCTTGAAGTTTCCTGCGATTCTGAGTTCATGGTTTGGCTAATCTTGGAGGAGTAGTATTGATCATTCGAAATCGTCGTTGCATTAGTTGTGTTTCTTTGCGACCCTTGCACTTCTCCGTAGGGTTATGATGTAGATCTAATGTCTGGCAAGAAGCCTTTTTCTGGTCTTCGAGAACAGCCGTCACCGTATACTAAGGCTGGAGTGTGGCTGAAGCAGCATCGAGGCTCCAGCAGGCAGCACCCTAGGTCAGCACTCTGTGCCTGGATAGTATCCAAGAAATATTCTAGGCATCCGTTCCTTCAGTACTGTTAGGTCACCTCGCTGGTAAAGATGCGACGACTAACTATGTTGTAGTGAGAAGACTGCGTAGAACCGCATCGGAAATTAAATTAGACGCCTTTCGCCTGCACACAAAGTATCCGCGTCTCCCATCTCAACACAACCTTCATTGATGAAACCCATACGTACGAATTGTGCGAGCTCAGGAAACACCCACGACTTCATTGTGCGACCGTCGCTATGTTCAAGCCACTGCTAAATCTGAAAGGTTCCTCACGTCGCCGTCAAGTTGCTATGGCAAGAGCTGAAGCAAGGCAACCAATCTTCAATCCTTACACGCCGTGCACGTGCGATCTGGCTATCTCCTATGGCGGGACTACTTTGTCTCCGGAAATGGTTCGTACCTCTATACCATGACACCGGGAGGACATCCTACCACCTACTGAAATGCCCTCAGCTCCGCACCGTACGCTCCAAGACAAGTAAGAGGCGTAAAAGCCCCGACAGGCCAACATCATACCTGGGTCTCAGGGGAAAGAAGAGGGAGGAGTCCAAGGCAGACACACGGAGGGAGAATGCTTGGCGCCAGCGAAAGGAGGCGCGAAGATTTCGAGACTTGGAGGCAAGGGCAGGAGCCATGAAAGCTGTCAACCCGGCCCGCAACCCGTTCGCACAATGCTGCTGCTGTGACATGCTCAGCGACTCCGAAGACGAAGCTGTCCGTGAAGAAGCGAGGGCCATGTGCCACACTCGTTTTGACGGATCAACAACCTTCCACCTCCCGAACTGCCTTACAGGCCGATCCAATTACACCGGTCCCGCAAATCCCACCCCAGCCAATCCAAGTCTACACCCTACGTCGACCTTGAAGAAGAAAAAGAGGAGACAATATACTCGGCGCCAGCCCAAGCCGGCGAAAAGGCACCGTGAGATCCCGGAGCCCAACGCAACTCTGGAAGCTCTGAAGGCTGTCTTCAACCCCTACGTCGAATGCTCCTGCGACCTCCACGATACCGAGGAGTGTCCTTTCAGACCGCTTAGCCTTGTGGTACCCGATGATGGAACAACGTCGAATCATCTAGGAACTTGTGCCAAGATGGTCATCGTGCCGCAACCGTCCCACAAAATGCATGCCAGCCCAGCGAAGCGAAAGCCTACATCGATATCGAAGGAGAGGAAGAAGAAGAAGGAAAGAAGGAAAAGAGGCACCGATGTCGCTACTGGCGAAACAATACAATTCGAGGACTACGGCCTCAGACTATCTACGAGCCATTGGCGAGCATATGGACCTGAAGAGGAAGAGTCGCGATTTGGAGAGATTGGGCCAATTGGTACAATCCTAGCTGGTGCAACGAGGACAGGGAAAAAGGACGCGGATCATACAAGGGGTCGAAAGCGTTCATTTTGGTCGCAGCGCTGCCCATATGTTGCAGCAATATTGGGTGTAACGCGAATGATTATGAGGCAGACTCGATGCGCTGGAATTGGGGCGTGTGTGGAGGAACCTGGTATACAAGCAACCATATGTTTAACATTCCAGTCCATGAGACTTGAATATACCTCGTTGCTTGAAGTGATGGCGCGCCTAGGGATCATAAGCGATTCAAGCAGCGCCGGATAGGTCCCTAAAGCCCGCTCCCTAAAGTAAAGTAGTCTCTAAAAGCACCCTAAGGCTAACGGCCCCTAAATCTAACGCCGCACCGCCCGAGCCTTAAAGGATGGCTCCTTCTTCCTGCGTTCCTTTTCTTGAGACTTCTTGTTTCCTGCTAACGCGACATTGGAAATGTACGGCGGGTTGGCATCAAAATTTCAAAGCATTGCCACCACTGCTACTACCAGCCTTCACCCTCTTCTCGGAAGGCAATCCCGTGGCGAGACTCCGCGGAGAAACCGTAGAATCTTATCCTGCGAGCGTGTTCTCAGATTTCAGCCTTGAGAAACCTTATTTTTGAGCGCATCGTCCAGGCAATCCTTCTGGCTAGGAGTCATTATTCAAAATCTTGGCGCAGGAGCCCTGGTATTCATGACTTTCGGTTGACGTCCATATGAGTGAGATCTTTCATTTTCAACGGATCAAAAAGCTTTCCCTCTTTCTTTTTTTCATGTCGCGGGTCTCTCTACAAAGTTCCACATCACCACTCTGGCCGCGCAGCACCCTTGGGCATGTCAATGTGCTTTGCGAAGCCACCTGCATGATGTGCGAGCGGCTATTGCCCAAATTTAGTGATTCAAAAATAACCCAGCCCCACATGCATCGTAAGCTGCATCTCTTGAGGGTGGGTGGTGAAAGAACGCGGTTGGTCCTCTCCAAAACGAGGAGGTGGTGCAGTTTGAAAAGCTGCAGAATTAACGCCCAATGCCATATACATAGTCTGATGATCCCCCGAGCTTCTCTGACAAGTTTCTCCCGAGTAATTTTTCCTGTGCACCTCCTCTCGGCGCTCTGGCATACGCCTCACTGTCTATTCCTCATTTTATAACTGCAAAGTCTTCCAAGCTCGGTTAGTTTCCTGACTTTCACGACATTGTTGGACAAGGCTGCGTTGAGAACAGTCACGCCTACTCATTCTATATATCTTTTAGCAAGCCCGTCTAAGTCATCTAGAAAAACGCAACTAAAAGCATCTGCTGAATCGCGCAAACATCCATCAACCAAGTGTCCAAGTCCACAGTCAAATTTTCAAAAACGACGACAAAAAGTAAAGCCTGATAGCCCTGTCGGTAATTCTGACGCTTGTATCTTCCGGCCGATCCCAAAGCTGAAGAGGAAGTGTTCTCCACAGCTTCCACGCCAAGTCTGTTTGTTCGCAAAGCCTTCAACCTTCGCCGGCAAACCCTTGTGCTTGAGAGCCAAAACAATCTCACGCGTGGTGCTTGCCCGAGGCCTGGTGGCTGTTGCAGTGAATACCAAGCACCTAATCTCCATCCGCCAACGTATACGTTCCTCAAGACTTACGAAAAGAATCTCCACAACTATATCCGACATGACGGCAAACCAGACCTTGGTACATGGCTGGAAATCGACCGATTGTGGACGAGGGACGAGCGACATCCTATGGAGTTGCCTCTCCACTATACTCCTCTGTGTTTGGACAGTGATCCATCTTCCGCTTCCATGTTGTTCAGTTTTCCAAAATGGTCAACCCATACCAGGCGAACCATCGCGGTCTTGGAGAAATTGGATCATCAGAAATGGGATCGTGCCAGCAGTGATCAGTGTCATCGCCCCGGAGTTCTTGACCTTTACCGCCATCAAGGAGCTAATTTTCGCTTGGAAGCACCAAAAAAGGATAACCGAAATGAACTGGACTCTGACCCATACTTTCTTTCTGCAAATGGGCGGTTTCTGTCTTGAAACCCCTTCAGGGAAACGTCTGCAGTTCGATGGCATTGAACTACGGTCTGCAATAGACGCGGGCAAGGAAATAGGAAATCGATCTCCAGACTGGCTTCAGAAGCTCAAGGAGGTGGAAAATTTTCAAATCAACGACCACGCCACGTCAAATTCCCTGGTGAAATTCATTGCTTGTAGCCAGGCGCTATGGTTGGTGACTCAAGTCATATTTCGAGTATGTCAGCATCGGGCTGTAACGCTCTTGGAAGTCAGCACATCGGCGTACGTAGCCTGTGCATTGACTGCTTATGTCGCTTGGTGGGAGAAACCACAGAATGCTACTTTGCCGATCATGATTCCCTGCTCTGATGAAGACTTTCCTAAAAGAAGTACAAAGGATCCATTGTACTATAGCAAGATTAACTTGACAGATTATTTTTGGGAAGGCCAGCAGCGGGGTAAACATTTTTTCGGCAGCGATAAGGCACATTTTATTTTATGGGGACTCATTCCTCTTTGCCCAGCAATCTTCGGCGCCATTCACGTTGCGTCATGGAACATCAGACTTCTTTCAAACGTGGAACAGTGGTTGTGGCGAGCAAGCGCTCTATATTGCTGCACCGCAGGTTTGCTATTCCTTCTGTTGACATCGATTTCTTGGATCTGCGTAGACTTGTCTTGGATTCGAGACGCTACGGCGGAGATGGTCTCATTTTGGGCGCAACTCGTCATTGTCTCGCTTTACGTTCTCGTCCGGCTATTCATGATCGCCGAGGCTTTCGCGAGTCTCCGAGCACTACCTCCCAGTGCCTACGAGTCTGTACACTGGTTGAGCTTTATTCCTCACACGACTTGAGAATTAGCGGCAAGCAAGAGCACGGGAGGAACAGGCTGGGAGGCAGTAGGGGTTTCTCGCAGAGGGGGGGCAGGATTCTGTTGTAGCTGCGCAGCTTGGGGGGCCGGTCGCACTGGCATATTCGTCCGAAGCCCGCGTTGGAGAGGTGGATGGCTTGAGAATGTGAGAGATCTGTGCGCGTGTTTGGGCGAATATCAATACTGCGAGTTCTGATGCTTTGCTCTGTTTCTTTCTACTTGCTATTTTGTACTTTGAAGGGATGCTTTGCATACTACCTATGCTATAGACTTGATTTTCTGGTACTTGCTGAGCGTTGGAATGTAGCTTTAGAGGCAATTGCATAAGCACACTGTTACGAAGTCGCCGCAGAGTCATTGCTAGATATTCTCAACTTCGGAAGCACAAACCGCTCCTTCTCATCTTCAATCTCCTTGTCCTCCTGAGAATCCGTGGACCAGATGAACACCCCGAGGCCGTCGTCCTGGCCCGTTGGCTGCCACCCCGCCTCCCCCTTCCGGATCACACAGCTCTCGACGAGGCTCGCCGCCACCCGGTTCAGGTTGAGATAGGTGGTCGCTTCCGTCGGCGGCCCGGTCTTGTAGCCTCCCGGCAGCATATCAGGGATGGGGAAGTCTCGAACGATGATCAAAGCTAATGTGCATGTGCCTAGCTCGGACCCGGGTGGCATTAGTCTCCCCAGCGGGTGCCGTGTGCGAAAACGTCTCATTTGAGATTGGAGCGGCGATGACTGGGACTGGGAGAGAGGGAGAAACCGAGAATGAGATGGAGACCGGAGTCCCGTGGCGCTTACCGAATGTATATTTCCGAGGCGTCATCTGCCCCTTCGCGTGCTCGGTCTTTTTCGCGCCCGGCGACAAGAACTCCATGGGTCCTCTGCCGCCATCCATCATCGTCTCGTAGTAAAAGTAGTCGAGCACTCCCCGGCAGTCCTCCTTCTCCATGGGAGGTTGATTCCATCGCTGAATCGGAGTGCAGTACCATTCCCAAGAGTCGCCTTCGATGGCAGATCGATTGGTAGACTGGCTGACTTCCCTGGCTGAGGTGAGGTTGACGAAGCTGGGAATGTTGGAAATGCTTGACGAGGAGGGAATGCTGGCCGCGTGGGCAGCAGGTAGCAGGATGTCTGTGAGGAGAAGAAGAAGAAGATACAAGATCATGTTGAGACTATGCTGGGAAGCGTGCTGAACTTCGTGACGGAGAGCGCGCTGGTTTACCCGAGAAGAGACGCTGTCCCCACAAGTTTTCTTCAAAGGTGGTTAGGATTGTGGGGGCACGGGGGGTGAGAGTGGTGTATATGCGAGTTGCGCAAGCCGAGCCGTCAACCCTTTGGTGCGCGTCGTCTAGAAAAATCCCCGATCGCAGTCGATCACAATATGCTCGCGTGAGCATGTGCGACGGACCTACTCGGGGGGATGAGTAATTCTGCGAATAAGCTGTTGTCGCGTTCTAACCCTCGTTCTCAACGGCGCTCTATGGACCAGATGTTCGATTTAGGACATCAGAGGCGGACTTCTTATGAGATTTCCAACTAGAGACGGAATTCCAAACACGTCGATCATGATGGCAGCTACGGAGGAATGGAGAGAGAGTGTGTGTGGTCGAGGTAGTGTTACCCAATCTTTTTAGGTTCGATTCGTAATGGCGCTGGTACAACATATTGGTTTCGTCTTTGATTTCGGAGCAAAGCTGGTAACGGTGCATCAACTAAATGCTCCACTGCCAGTTAACTTGTCGATTTCTACCGTTGGTGGTGCAGTTGGAGGTCTGACGGTTGGTAATTGGTGCAGTTTTGATCTTGAAACCAACTATTTCAAATGGTTCAACTGTTAGTTTTGTGATTTGTGGACATAGCTACTTTGAAGCCATTTGCAGCCTTGACGATTGTTCTTCTTCCATCGTTCAGCTATCCGCCCTCTATCAAGCCATCTCTCTTCAACAACTCCTTGATTCAGCTAGTCACCGGCTCCTTCTTCCTCCTTTCTCTTCCTTGACGACATCGTTCGAAGTCACTACGGGCAGTGTAGGCTGGTAAGAGGTAGAGCTACATCCTGGGACCACATCATACTTCATTTTACCTCTTCCTCATGAATAAGTCGTGCTTGCTGAGATCTATCAGTAAAAGGTATATCGAGGTATTTCTAGCACGGTTCAGCCCTCTGGTATGCGATGTGTAGAGAGTTCCATTCATGAAGCCCCATTGTCCCACCAGTTTTTTAATCACCCTCACACCTAAAGGTACTACCAAAATGATCGAATGTTACAGTAGTATCGCTTAAAGCGTAGTATTCTATAGTAGGGAATACACTGATTAGAAAAGATATATCAGCAGAGGCCTCACCTGACGGAAATTCTGGTCTTCAACCACTGAAATCACTCCCCGATTATTTTATCTGATAACTAGTACTTATTTTCTATAAATATAACGGGTAATTGGTTGAAGATTTCAAATCCGATTGCAGTTGGAGCGCCTAGAACCAAATGTTTCAACCGTTGCCAACCCGGTTTCAGAGAGCTGCAGGGCTAGGAAAGGGGCGATGGGCGTGTCGGCTTCTAGGATGGCGAGGCGGAGGGCGGTCGGGCTGTAGAGTAGGCTTGCAAGTGTGACTGGCAAGCTGCGTGTAAAATGTCTGTGGCAGAACATCCAAAGTGCCATATTTTAATGACGTAGTAAGTTTTTAATGACAAGCTTTACAGTATAATAATTGGCTGTAAAATTTGATATCTGCTGAAGAAGAACAATTACGAACTTATAGGTTTTTTCGTGCGTGCCCTCGTTGTAGAGTTGTGATAGGTTGTAAGAAGGGACTTTTTGATGTTCGGGCGGAACCCCTGAATTTGCTGAATTTTACACGCTGTCAGCCGATGGGATGAATTAGCTTGCTTTGCTTGGTGGGGTTATATCCTGCTGCAGGCTTCCTGTTTCATAGAATAATAAGTGAGTAATTGAACAATCCTCTCACCTACAAGAACTTCAGCCTCGTCAATCTTCTGAGCTGCACACCTTGATGTGGCTACAGAATGAGTAGCTCTACCAAGACTAGACACCTAAGATCTTGATGCTCCTCTTCCTTGGGCATCAGAGAATCCTCAGGTAACGTAGCCATCATCGTCGTGGTCCGTTTACGAAAAAGAGGTGCACCTGCGAGTTATGACACGCACAAACTCGGATCACAAGACGCAGCAGAGTTTGGTGCCTTGGCTAAAGCTGACTGCAGGAATGTGTAGGATCGAGGAGGGTGCAGGAAGCGCAATGTAATGAATAAGCCCCAAAGGTAGGCTCTGCTCACGCACAATATGCCGACTTCCTGAAATCTCACTGCATATGTATATAAGATGCTCAAATCCAGTATCTGATCTGGTTTCTTTTCACTCTCGTTCTCACCTCGGTTTGACTATCAAGCTAGCTTTCATTGCTTCTGTATTTGATCATCAGCGGTCCCCCAAACATTCAACCTACATTTCGGTGTGTGTCACTAACGATGCGGTCTCTCACCCTTGCAATCACGGTCTCTGCAAGCCTCTCGGCGGCATGGATGCCCTCGAGTGCCACCTTGCCACTCCGTGGAGTCAATCTCGGCTCTCAATTCGTCGTCGAGCCCTGGATGGCCAGTGATGAGTGGAACAGCATGGGTTGCGGCGGTACAGCATCCGAGTTCGATTGCGTCAGTAAGCTTGGTCAGACTCAAGCCAACAAGGTTTGGGCAATGCATTGGAACACCTGGACCACCCAGGAGGATATCTCTAAGATGCGGTCGTACGGCCTGAATGCTATTCGGATTCCTGTTGGATACTGGATCCGTGAAGATCTGGTGTATTCTGACAGCGAACATTTTCCGCAAGGGGGACTCCACTATCTGGAGCAGATCTGTGGATGGGCGAGCGACGCAGGACTTTATATCATTATTGATTTGCATGGTGCGCCGGGAGCCCAGGTTGCTCGGAATGCAGATACCGGACAGGTATGTTTGGCAGAGAGATGTGGAGACGGACAGTAATTGACCAACTTCCAGGATGCTTCGACGCCAGGCTTCTACGTTGACTACCAGTACGAGCGCGCGTACAAGTTCCTCGAATGGATGGCAAACATCATCCACACGGACAAGAGTTACAGGAATGTCGGCATGCTGGAAATCCTCAGCCAGCCCGTCCAAGGCAGCAACAGCGAAACGGATTCCATGAGGCAAACGTTCTACCCCACCGCATGGGCGCGCATCCGAGCCGCAGAAGCTGCCCTCAAAATCAGCCCGAACAACCTTCTGCATATCCAGATGATGGTAAGGGAGTCCCACACCCGATCAAAGAATACTGATTGATGGATACGAAACGTAGAACGCAAAATGGGGCTCCGGCGACCCGCACCAACACCTCACCGACGACACCTTCGCCGCCTACGACGACCACCGCTACCTCAAATATTCCGACGACAACGGCATCAACGACCCCGGCACCGGCCGAACCCCTGCCGCCTACCTCAAGGAATCCTGCCACGACGACCGCGGCGGCAACTGGCCCACCGTGGTCGGCGAGTTCAGCCTCAGCGTCGCCGACGACCTCGAGTGGAACAGTTCCGAGTTCGCCCCGCCGGATAGCCACGTCGGCTGGTATGCCAAGTGGTTCGCGGCGCAGATCCAGGCGTACGAGAAGCAGGACGGCTGGATCTTCTGGAGCTGGAAGGCGGATTATATCGCGGGGAGGAATGATTGGAGGTGGTCGTATCAAGGTGAGTTTCCTTCGAGTTATGCCTCGAGAGTTGCACTGAAAAACGTGGGCAGCGGCCGTGACGGCGGGTGCGATCCCGCAGAACCTGAAAGATGCCGTCAATTCGAATCCTTGCGCTGGCATCTAGGTGGTCGATAGCTGGTTGTAGGTCGCGGGCCTGAAGCCGTGCGCACGGTGTTTGTTGCTGGTCTGGTTTCCCGTTGGGGGTAAGTACTGTAGCTGCGATGTAGGATACGGTCATGGGGAAAGAAGATCTTGTTGCTTGCTTTTACATGTATCAGAATCGTTTCGGAGGTCTAAGGCTGTAACATGGATGTAGAGGTGCAGCTAAAAAAACAACCGATTGAGCACAAGAGTCCAGATATTTTTCATTTTCGTGAATGTGAGTGTGAGTGTGGAGTGTTTGACACTTTGACGAATAACGAGCGACATAAACATCAGCGAGCAAGGCGAGGCTGAACGGCATGATATTCCCATTTCTTCGTTCCGTGGGCTACAGTCTACCTGGGCTATAACGATATATCGTTTCATGGAGACAGTATCGTTACAACCAAATTATCGTTAAGCCTAGATTTGCACTAATTACTACTGAAATACGCCTGAATCGATGCCTACTTTTACGCAGAAGCCTTACGAGCCCTAATTTCTCTCTTATATCGATTCAGACGTGTAATTAGTATATCATCGCCGTCGTTTTATTATTCCTCGTATAATTATAGACATTTTAGTAGCTGACAGGCTCTCAGAGATCGTAGATTAATTTAATTGATAACCGTATTTCTCTAAGAACCAGGCCTGAAGCGTTTATATCTTACGCTTTTTATCTAATCTAGTTATATTATATAGACGTAGGTCTCGTCGTTTAGCGTCGATAATTATCTAATATCGTTTTCGAGTAGAATTAAACGGTAGAGGGGATATAGATATTTTAAGATTACTAAAACTCTATCTCAATAGCGGCGACGATAGCGAGGATATATTGTTTAGAGTCATTAAATATAACGATATTACTGAATTTATTAGATAAATACTAACGATATTGTAGTAGATAAGTTATCGTTATTCTATATCAAAAATAATTATTATATGACTATATAATTATTACAATCAGAATATCGTTATATAGCGAATCGTTATAGCCCAGATAGACTCTAATTACCGAATCATACCCCGAAACTATAAATCCTTACCGAATCATATTCTTAATTACTGAATCATACCCCTATATCAAAATTTGGGGTATGATTCGATAAGGATTAATTGCTTGGGGTATGATTTAGTAATTTATCAAACTTGCCATAGTGGTAAGAGTGTAATCTAGGTATCTATACCTGTGTAGGCTATTAGGAATAAAGAGTATATGTGAGAGTCACAGACTGGGTGTAGACAGGCTGGGGGGTTAAATTTAGCCCACTGTTAGCAGCAGCCCCCCCACGGGGGGCTCTGCGACAGCCCTACCTACGGGGGCCCTATTTAGGTCTAAATAGGGGTGTCTGGCTGTTAAGCGCAGACACCCCCGAGACTATTTTTTAGCTGAGCTGATGGTCTCTGGGGTATCTACGCTTAACAGCTAGACACCCCTATTTAAACCTAAATAGAGCCCCCGTGGGAGCTGCTACTAACACCCACTCGGCTTTCGTCTAATATATTTAAGCTGGTAGATCACCCATTAAATACGGTCGGAGATATTTCCTTTTTTCTACAGTCGGATGGCCCAGGTCGCGAATTTTCTCCTTTGCGATTTTTATCATGAATAGCAAATTACCGAATCATACCCCAAGTAATAGCAAATTACTAAATCATACCCCTAGGGGTATAATTCAGTAATTACGGGTATGATTCGGTAAGGATTCATAGTTTCGGGGTATGAATTACATTTTCATACCCCAAACTATGCGATCCTTACATTTTCATACCCCAACGGGGTATGAATTTGTAAGATGCCACTAATAGGGGTATGATTTTGTAAGATACCATTAATGGGGGTATGATTTTGTAAGTTGCCATCTATAGGGCGGGTTGGTGTTAGGAATTATTCCTCCGGGGGCCCTGCGGGGCCCCTTAGGGATGTCTGCAGCGTGAAGTACAAACACCCCTATTCAACCCTTTAGCGGTAACTCGGGTTACTAACAATTGGGGTAGGTAGCCTGGAACACCCTAAATACCCTTCTAATGATTTACAGGTATAGGGATACAAATTCATACCCCATTTTTTTGGTGAGGGGTATGAAAATGTAAGATGGGGTATGAATTTGTAAGAATCCCATAGTTTGGGGTATGAATTTGTAATTCGCCCGGCGGTAGCGACTGCCTAGCATTTCAAGAACCAGCTCCGACAAGGCCCTCTTGCCCTATAGATGTCTAATCTAATCCAACAAAATCCGTGGATATATACAACGAATGAACAGTCAGTCAGTCAGTCAGTCTCCGCTTTCCACTCATCCCATTTTGCCCCCAACCCCCCTCTCTCATCCCATCTCATCTCATCTCATATGCTCCACCCCTCTCCTTTACCCCCCCTCCTCTCTAACACCCCCCCGCCGTCTCATACACCCACGCCGTCAACCCCTCACACCCCAAATCGCACCGACTGAGCGTCACCGTCGGCGTCGCGGCCGGGCACGCGCAGCCGACGGCGAACGTGGACGTCGCGACCGGCGTCGTGCCGCCCACCAGCACGGGCAGGCACCGGATCTCCTCGCACACGCCGACGGTCTTGGCGACCGTCTTCGTGACGGTGGGGCAGCCGGTGTCGGCGACGGGGCGGGTGGTTGTCAGGGGCGTTGTGGCGTTGGTGGCGGGGGGGTGGGTGGAGAAGGTGCTGCTGGCGGGGTGGGTTGAGAAGGTGCTGCTGGCGGTGTGGGGGTGGGTTAGGTGGTGAGGTGGGGCTTTGGTGAGGGCGGTGGGGAGGGCGCTGGTGGGGTTGGTGGGTCAGTTTGGGTGGTGGGGTGGGAGAGGAGGGGGGTTGCGCCTGAGGGATTGTGAGTCACTCACCTCAGGGCAAGCAGCGCGATGTTGAGGAGGAGCATTTTGGTGGACGGGTTAAGGGTGGGAGGGACTGAGGTCGAATCGCAGACCAGCTGGGGATTCTATGCGTTCAGTAATCGCAGACGCAGGTAGAAGGAGAAGGTTGAATGGACAGCAGAGAGAGAAGAAAGGCAGGCGAGCGTAAGCCCAGCCCTTTGTACAGTGATCATCATGTCAGCCCCCTCCGTGTGTTTAATCTGCGATATAATATGTGCTGATATTGTAAAGTAAGTATGGTTTCACATTGAGCATGCACGTCTTCAGGGGATTCCTGCGGCGGATGATGGAGCGGGGGAATAAATCCCAAGAGGCGCCGTTGTTTCGTGTCGGCACAGCTGCACTTTTGATTGGGTGCGTGTTCGGGGGCCCCGCCCGCTGTTCTTCGGGGCAGCTCGGGGAGTAACCTTGATTCGGGCATGCCCGCCGGGTACCGAGATACCATGATTACCTACTACGGCAACCCATACTGACAGGGGTAATTACCTTTTCAGCTGGCGCAACTGCATAAAGTATGCATATGAGCCACACGAAACACTAAAGTACATAAGATGTGTGGCACGCTGTTTACATGTTTGGGTCGCTTACGATGGACAAGGTATTCGATAGGTCTTCTCATATATGCAATAAGGAATGGCTTGTTTAACATGCGATCAATCATAAATCCCCGTGTTCACAGCCAAGACTTTCGGAGCATAATCACGGGAGACCCCCCGCATGGTGCCCAATCTTGGCGGTCCGTGCACCCACCCACTATCTTACTCCGTTATCTTCAGCTTCAACACCTAAAAGGTCGAAGCGACGCTTGACGGCGTGTCTCCTTGAAAAACGAGACATGTCTCTCACTGCTGCCGAAGTCGTTGAACATCCGGCTTTCAATACTGTCATCTGGGATCTCAAGCCAACGGAGAAGGGAAGATGTGCTGTTGCGCACGGGAGAGGGGGTCCCGTCGATATCGCATATGAGATCCATGGCGCTGGGCCTGTAAAGCTAGTAGTAAGTCGCATCCAAGATACGGTAGAATGGATCGGGCTACGAGCAAAAACATTGAAGTGTGTCCAAGGCTGAGAGGTGAAGCCAGTGGATCATGGGTCTTGGCGCCTTCAAATGGTACTGGCAACGGCAGACCATAGATTTCGGTCATGACCAGCCTTCCAAGTACTCATGTCTCATTTTCGATAACCGCGGTATGGGCGAAAGTGACAAGCCGGTCATGCGGTATTCGACGTCCGAGATGGCCAAGGATACCTTTGACCTGCTCGATCACCTTGGCTGGATTGGCGAAAGATCCGTCCACGTCATCGGTATCAGCATGGGCGGTATGATAGCCCAGGAGATGGTACAGACCCGCGGCCGGAGCGTTGGAAGCGGTGTTGACGGGAACCTAGGCATGTCTGGACCCTCGAAGAATGGCCAGTCTTTCACTGGTATCAACAGCAGCGCAACTTAAGAATACCATTGTACGTTCCGAGAGCCGGTGAGCTGAGCGGAGAGTTTCACTGACAAAGAAAAGGGCTACTTCGAAAACCTACGGGATCGCATCAACATCTTGTAAGGAACATCTGAACGGGCGCTGAATCTCGATGTTGACGGTCGTAGCATCCCCAAGTCTCTCGACAAGCAAATCGCAGAGGTCAAGACGCGTGTCAGTGATTCATGGCTTTCGCAGCCGGACCAAGACGGCGATTATCCAACCAACGGCGACCGGTTCGCGGCTCAGGAACTCACGAAGCGCCAAGACACCGAAGGCTTCACGCGCAAGGGCTTCATCTGCCAAGCTTTGGCCGCAGGATGGCACAAGAAGAGTCCGGAGCAGCTGACGGAGATTGCGGAGAAGGTGGGCAGGGAGAGGATTCTCGTGATACACGGCACCACGGACAATCTGATCACGGTCCCGCACGGGGAGATTCTGGCGAAGGAATTGGGAGGAGAGGAGATGGGTGTGACGAAGAGGATCTTTGAGGGCAGGGGACATTATTTGCCTCTGGAGGAGAGGGCGGAGTTCAAGAAGTTGATCGAAGGGATCGTGGAGAAAGCAGAGGCGATGCGGTAAGCAATCTGACCGGACATTTCCCGCCGCTGTTGTGTAGTACACGACGTGAAGGCCGTAAGGAGGAAGGGCAGAATAGGTTTGCCATCGATATCCCGATAACAGCCGGGTCTAAGCCAGGAAATCTTTCATCGAGCTGAAGAATCATCATCCATCCCAAACTTCGATCCAACCCCGTCAGATCGTCCGGACGGTGAAGATCAAGCCGCCAACGCCTCACAGCAACTGACCCAGCACACGCCTGCCCCTTCCTCCCTCCCTCCCTCCCCCCTCCCTCCACACCTCCCCCTCTTCCATCAGCCATCTCACCACCCACTCGCCCCCCACTCACCCATCTCCTCATCCTCTACCCGCCCACCTCCCCGCTCAGACATCATCCGCTCCCATCGTCAAGGATACCCCCTCACCGCCTCCCCCCCAGTCCCAGAGCGTCCGGGCAGTTGGCGCCCATATGTGGGATCGCTGGCGGAAAGGGTTCGATGGGGTCGAGTGGGCTGGGTTGAGAAGGGGTTGGTGTAGGGGGGGTTGTTAGGGGAATGGGGAGATTGGGGGAGGGGGGGGAGGGAGGGAAGGGGGGGTGGGTTGGGGATGGTTTGGGGATGGTTTGTTGTGGGGATTGTTGGGGGTATGTTGTGTGAGGGTGGGGCGGGGGGCGATTGATGGGCTTGTTGGATGGATGGATGGATGGGTCGGGGTTGGGATGTTCGCTGCTGCGGGATGATGTGATGTGATGTGATGTGAACGCTTCCTGGAGGTTTGTGCTCTTGGTGCAATTTGAGTTTTTCGTGGTTCTGGGGGTGGTGTGGTGGCGTGTTGGAAGGGGGGGTGGGGGGAGTGGTGGGGGTTCGGAAAATAAGAAGCACCGCAACACCATTGTACCAGTGCCATTAGGAATCGAACCTAATACGAACTAAATACCTCTAACAACAGGTTCGGGTCGGGTGTAGACGGTGCGAGATGGTTACTCGAAACTAGGGTTTGCTGGTGAGCGGTGTCGGGTTTCTCTACACGCGGAATTACTGTGCGGTTTCGGTCTTGCAATCGCGTGTGCTCTGTCCTTGTACTCGGTTTCTTGGATTGGACATGGTGCTTCCTGTTGTCATATCTCCATGTACATTACATATATCTATTCTCGCCGTGTCCCGCCAATGCCGACGCTTTCAATCTTTGTCCATATCCCGTGAAACTCCCTACCATCGCTTCGTCCAGATCATGACCGGAAACCATTTCATGCTTTTTGCTCCCATCATTCCTCCCCTCGGCGCAGGACCGAAGTGGCCTAGATAAAAGTCCAGTTGACCGTCGTGGGCGCCTTGTTGGCTTTCCCATCTGCCATGCCATCAGCTTCCGCTCCGCACCTCGAGAGGATCAATCTTCTTTGGGAACAAGGCGTTCACTTACTCGGCGACAACGCCTCCAATCCGGCCGTCGTCAGCTGGATGTTGTCCCCGGTGCAGGTCGTGCATTCCCCGATCACGATCGCTTCGATCGTCTTCTTCGTGCTCGGGTTCGTGACGTTGATGGGTGCGTCGCAGGGGGACTCGCTGGCGGGGATTTAGTCGCCGCTGCTTGAGTGGGAAAGAAAGACAAGCGGCCCGGTGGGGTGGGTAGGGTGTGGCGGACTCACTCGGGCGGGTTGTAGAAGGAGGCGGGGATGCTGGCGTAGATGGACGTCTGGGTGCCGGGATTGCAGTATGCGGCCGCGGGGTCCTTGAGTGCGGTTACTGTTTTTTTTTTCTGTCGTCAGCTAATTTTCTCGGTCGGGTGGGAGTGGAGAATGAATGGCTCACGTGTCCCGGTGAAGTTCCCAGGATGGTCGCACCCGTCGGTGCCGGGGTTGCAGGCGTGGATGGTGACGATGGCGAGGGAGAAGATGGTCAGGCTGGAGATATACATGGCGGCGACGGTTTAATTAAGGCTTTGGTTTGCACTCCGGTCAGGTCGGTTTGCAAGATTGAATTTCTAGCAATTGGGGGCCCTCGGGCACTATTTAAAGTCAGCATCTTAGAGCTCGTTCCTTGTTTTCCCCCCGGTCATTGTCAGGGTGTCAGGATCTTGACTTGGCGTAAATGGTTTGGCCGCTAAATCGCTTTTGCGGTTAGTCGGGTAGCCTTAGTACCTGCTTCCGGCGAAAGGCGAAACGAATCCATCCATAGCAAGGCGCAGAGCCGCAGTTGTTCCGCTGGCTTCAATTGTTTGATGATCTTTATTTGGGATCGCATAGACGGGCTACAGTAGAGAGGATGGACCTGTTGAGATAAGATAATTCTGGCGTACGGGTGGCCCGTGTGCCTTCATTATAGAACAAGGAGGTGGCACTGAGCTCCGGATCTGTTGTGTTCTTCTGAGAATACAACATATTGAGCTGCTTGAAGGGAGAAGCGCGACTAAGAGATGAAAAGGAATGGAAATTTACTGTGGGAAATTGCTTACTGAGTCAAGAAAGGATGGTATTCAATGGACGTTGAATAGGAGCTATGTGGGATTGATAGAAGAAAATAATGAAGAAAAGGCTAAGCAATGTATATAGGAAGTTTACTTGTTACGAAGGTAGTACTAGTAAGGAAGTAAATTTCGATATTGGAGACGATAAAGTCATTCTATTCTTGTCAGCGGCAAGCCTTCCGGACCTTAGTGCATACGCTAATACACGCGCCACAACGCTACGGGTGACTGCGCCAACGTTCGGACCCCGTTCTCCAAGTCCAAACACATCTCGGGAGAGATATAAATTCTCCGCCTTTTCAGTGCAACACAAGGTCGACAAGGTCAACATACCGCTCGGCTTGGCTCAAACCAGAGCTGGCCACCCTTGACCATTGGATGGCTGCATTATTGACATGAGCGCTCTTCATTGACTGCTTTCTGCAAGATTACGAACCACAACAGTATCGCAGCAATCAAAAAACAATTGGGCTGCCTCAATCACCGTAACAAGCGCTTGCTCTCTACAAGGTTTGACCATACCATGTCTGTGAGCAGGATGGCCCAAAGAAAGATCAGTAGCCTCTCATTGCTACCGCCCCAAATTTCAAGTCTTTCCAACGAGAGATTGGGATGCGGCTACGGTGGAGCACTTCCCATCCACCTCCGCCAGAATTAGCGTAAAGTCCAAAATGTGCTTGGAAAAAATCGTCTACCCACCCTTCTTTGCCACCAAAGCGCTGTGTATTCACCGGACGATCCACTATCATTGCTTTCCCAGGGCTGTTGGTCCAGAACATCGTACTCATGCTTTTTGAGAAAATGTCACTTTTTGAGCATGTTGCCGTCCGTGAAGACGTTTTCTTTCTCGAATAGGCTATTCCATGCGGTCGTGAGGGCTGAGTCGCAGGGAGGCTGCAGGTAAGACCTCTACTGGATATTTGAGTTGGCGGAACCTGAGGCCCCAGGTTACTGTATGCGGGGTTATCTCTGCACGCTTTGAATAAGACCAGAATGGCCTGCCGAAACTGGTGGATACTGGGGTCAAGAATCAAGAATGGGAACAAACTGCTACAAACTGCTTTCCTCCTCGAACCGCCAGCACAAAAGGTCCTACGTCTGGAATACAGCCTTGACTCGTATTCATAGGGAGGCTTTAGTGGATTCTTCAGCACCCACAAAATATCGAGTTCGGGGTTAGATAGTGGGAGGCTAGTCAGACTGGTCGGAGAGTGCTCAGAAACCATTCGGAACATTGACGCCGGCCTGGGGAAGTTGACAGAAATGAATACAGTCGTGGATACGGGCTCACTGACAGAAGTGATGCGGAAGGCAAGAGTGGATCCCTCACCCAGAGCAGTGAATTGACTCTTGGCGGACTCATTGATGCCTTTAAATACTGACCTTCACCTTGACCTGATGTTGTAGAGAAGGTCTGTTGTTGCACCTTTCTCCCGTGGGCGATGGCCGTTCTGGGGCCGGGCCGGGCCTATACGGTGTAGTGTCCAGACTATAAGAACCGTATTCTTGTCCATTCTGACTTCTCCTGTCCTGTTTGGTTTCCTACATATATAAAAATAGCAGCTTCTCTCTTTTCGATGTTGGTGGTATACTGTTGCTGGGAGCCCTTGAAGATCATATCTTCTTTACGGGCTTCTCTCGCGCTGTCATGACATGCTTGTTTTCAAACAACACCTCTGCACCAGCCAGCTAGTGTTGAGATCGGAGCTTCCACCAATGGTGAGGGAGAATTTCATTGTTGTTGTTTTCATTCACTTCTCTCCAACACAGCGTCGCCCCCCAACTGTTTACCCGTTGACACAGCATTCTTGCATTTCTCTAGTATTTAAATTCCACTCTTCCTCACCATCGTTCACTCCTGCACAACTTCAACTCCGCTTGATACTATCATAGCACTCAGGATTGTAGACACTGATTCCTCTTGAACTTTACATAGGACTTCACTCTCGTTACCGCAGTCTCACATAACAGTCCACTATTGTCTCATCACTGCCAACCATGGCTGCTCCTCAGCACTTGAAGCAGAGAGTATCCGAGGACAACGGACTACCATGGACTCAACATCCTGATTACGTCGAGGTATGCCGTACCATCAGCCGGTCTGGAGATCCAACATCATATAGTCAGTACAATAACAATGCCACCTAAGCCTTAGGACTGACTGTGCTCTAGATCCACCACATCACCACGGACCTTCGCCAACGGATCGAACCCAGTTCTCAGTAGGGTAAGTCATGACAGATCATCAGGATGACAGCAAAGCCTGGCTAACGTTTGAAAGACTTGCTGGATTCAATGTGAACAACCTGCCAGATGTAAGCAAATGCCACACATGCCTCAGAACTTTGCTTACGTCTCTGTAGGTATTCTACCACCTCTGGCCCAGCAAGGAATGGTGGGACCATGCGAAGAGCGAGAAGCCATCCCAGAAGATGGACGCAAACGGCAACTTGATGTTCGAACGAACCCCAAGGGACTGGGCACCTCGGCCATTGTTGGACTTCCCAATCTTAAAGAACCTTGATACGGTAAAATCCTTCCCAGAAAGACCCTCTGGC